CCCTAAAGGACTGCATAGTAAATCCCCCCCAAACAAAAAAAAACCCATTTTCCCTTTCTCTCTCCATCTCTTAAGCTTCCCCAACCCAGAAAGAAAAGAAAAAAAACCATGGGGGAAAACAAGGTGGCTTCTTTTACCACTTTCTTTTGGTTTGAGGCCCCAAAGTTTCTTCATTTCATGCCGGTAAGCATCATTTTTTTTACCATTTATTGTAATAATTTTGATGTTTTGATGTGTTCCCATTGTTTTTAAGGACTCAATATCAACTTTTTTTTAGTTTTTTTATAGAGAGATAAATATACAAGTCTAGTAGCTTTGTTTTTGTTGTCGGTTTAACCATCAGGGGTTGGTTTGTTAGTTGGAAGAAGGGAAAGTGAAAGAGACCCTTTGTTTAAGAAAAAAAAGGATGAAATGGATTGCCTTAGATCCAGGAAACCCAACTTGTATGTTGCAAAAAGTTTACCTTTTTAGGGTTCCCCCGTGACAATCTGGGTTTGTTTTGTGCTTTATCCTAGGTTCTTTCTCATGAAAAATTTTGCCTTTTTTCTTCTTTGGGTTGGTTGTAGTTAAAGCCCTTGAATTTGGTGTTCCCATTTGTGTTCTTGTGTGTTTAAAGGGTAGGTGGTGTTGGATATGATTTAATTCTTTTGATTGGTTCTTTCTCGAAAGTTTAGGAATTCGATGCGATGTGGACTTTATGAGAAACTTAGTTTATTTGTAGCTAAGGTTGAATTTCATTAATTATAAAGGTTGATCTGTTGTGCTCCTTTGCCAGATCTGGTTAAAATCACATCTTCGATTTGCATGCATTTAGCTTGTGCACCTCCTGAAAGTTTGGATCTCGGTGTTGTACTATTTTCGTTATGAAAAGCTTCGTTGTTCATTGAGATTCACTGTCATGGGGAAGTTGATAGAATTTGGTGCTGCAAGGTGATAATTAAGATGAATGCTGTTGAATTGTGTCGAATTTTTAGAGATTTGAGTGGTGATCGATTGTAGCATAGTGGGGTGAATTGATGGAAGAGATGTCTCCGGCTGTTGCAGTAACGCTTAGTTTAGGTAAATCTGTGTGTGACAACTCTGGGATTGCAACACACATGGAAATTACGCAGATCAAGCTTGTGTCCGATGCAGCAAACTTGTTGTCTGATCCTGCAAAGGTCTTGTCTCAGGGATCTATTTCTGGTAAAAATGATAAGAATGAAGTTAACAGTGTGTCATTTTCGGAAGTGGGTGGTGGGGAATGTGTTGATTTGTTGAAGATCTTACCTGAGAATGGAAATATATTTATCCCTTCTAATGAACCCATGACTCAGGAAAGTGAGGAAGATGAAATTTTGTCGGTGGATACTAATGGAATTATCAACGAGGGATTGCTGGTTTTAAATGCAGATTCGGATATAAGTTTGCAAAATGGGGAAATCAAAAGTGGTCGTATCCTTGCCAAGGCTATTTTTTGGGAGAACGAGCATTGAGCAAGTGCCTACGGCTGAAGTTCTTCTCACTGCTGTGAGTCCAGATGCAAAGACTTCGGATGGGTTCAATTTAAAGGCCTCTGAAGTGATCATTCAGCTGCCTAGAGAAAAGAATCTAAATAGAGGTGGCCGGAGTGTTTTCGAGTTGGATTGTATACCTCTTTGGGGTTCTGTGTCTATTGTCGGAAAAAGACCAGAAATGGAAGACGCTGTTGCTGCTGTACCTCGTTTTATGAAGATTCCAATCAAGATGCTTATTGGTGATCGTGTTATTGATGGAATCAATCAAAGCCTGACTGACCTTACCGGACATTTTTTCGGTGTTTATGATGGCCATGGTGGCTCCCAGGTAAAACGTTTTTTCCTTCTAAAACTCTGTTTTACATTTTAACTTTGCTTTAAGAAATTGCGAGATCACTGAATCAAATGGTATTTGCTGCATGTATGCTTTTTACGACAATAAGACTCCAAAGTAACATTTTAGTATGGCTTATCGAGACCTCGTGCAGGTGGCAAACTATTGTCGTGATCGATTCCATGTGGCTTTGGCAGAAGAAATCGGGAGCATTAAAGGGAATTTATGTGATGGCACTAGTATGGAGAGCCGAAAAATGCAATGGGAGAAGACATTTGCCAGTTGCTTTTTAAAGGTTGATGATGAGATCGGAGGAAAGGTTAGCAGAGGCATGACAGGAGGCAATGATGAATCTTCCGATGCTAGATTTGAACCTATTGCCCCTGAAACCGTCGGGTCTACAGCTGTGGTGGCCTTGGTTTGTTCGTCGCATATTGTTGTTGCAAACTGTGGCGATTCAAGAGCAGTCTTGTGCCGTGGCAAAGAAGCCATGGCATTGTCAATCGATCACAAGGTACGACATTTAAAAGTCTCTGGTTTCCTACTTTTGAAAACGAAGTGCAGAAACCAACATTTTTCCTTTTTTTGTTTTGCAGCCTAACAGAGAAGATGAGTATGCAAGGATCGAAGCATCTGGAGGCAAAGTTATACAGTGGAATGGACATCGTGTATTCGGCGTTCTCGCAATGTCAAGGTCTCTTGGTATGTTTATTTCTGCTCGAAACAAAAAAAGCCCGGATGTCTATAAATAGAATCCGGAACTAAGATTTAGTGCTGTCACAAGTGCCATAAATGACTAGCATATTTTGACATCCTCGATAAATAAGTGACGGAAGTCAAGTCTAGAGTTGTGCTTACTCTTTTTGTTTACGACACCTCACAGGCGACAGATATTTGAAACCATGGATTATTCCGGACCCAGAAGTCATGTTCATTCCTCGAGCTAGAGAAGACGAATGTCTGATTCTGGCCAGTGATGGGTTATGGGACGTCATATCAAACGAGGAGGCTTGCGAGGTGGCTCGAAGGAGAATCCTTCTCTGGCACAAGAAGAACGGTGTTCCATCACTCGTGGAAAGAGGCAAGGGAATCGACCCTGCGGCGCAAGCTGCGGCCGAATACCTCTCTATGCTCGCCATGCAAAAAGGTAGCACCGACAACATCTCCATAATCGTTATAGACCTGAAAGCTCAAAGGAAGTTCAAGATCAAACCCCATGATCTATAAATCGATAAGTCGATATTATCCAACCATATTAGAGGGAGTATATCTAATGAAAAAAAATACGTAGCTATCGGTCCATTGCTTTTTCTTATGGGCTTTAAATGTGTGTACAAGAATAGAAATTAGTATGTACTTTAAGCTAAAACGAAGGGTATTTGAATACCGTATAGTGTGTGTTTTTGGTATAAGCTTTTTTCTTTTATAATATATAAATTCAAGCTATTGGCATCATAGACGGGGGAAGATTTGAAACCAAAACCCTCCATCTATTGTTTGCGTAGTTGAACTATCTGAGCACCTATGTTTGAGCTTTGTGTTATGTGCCCATGTTGCTCCGATTTTCCTTTTGAGAACTCGTGTTTGATGTATGTTCGAGAATAATGTATGTTGGAGAACTCGTGTTCGACACTTGATTTAATGCATGTTGGAATATGGAGTTTGGCTATATGATCTTCCGAAGATTTTGTTATAATCGTGTTGGATATGATACATGTCCGTGTTGACCAATAAATGGTATTGCAGGGAAGTACTTGCTTGATTGAGTTGCTGGTATTGATAATAACTAGTAACTTTACGTTTAATTTTTTATACATGTATTATATCGAGTTTTGTAATATTATATAAATTTTAATATTTTACAGTCAACTACTTTAGTCATCAGTCCTGGAGACGTTATCTAACCAGGAAAAAATTAAACGAGAAAACGACTAAAAATGTGTTATAAAGACAAAGTAAAATATGTCATAAAGATCTAATTATTAAAAATAATTTTAAAAAATATGTTATATAACAAAGTAAATAATAAATAAAGAATAAATATTGTTGTCAACAAATATTAAAGCTAGTGTTCTCAGTTGACAAATAGGATGAAAAGGAAAAGAATACAATGGAACTTGTAAACTTAACTCGACAATACAAAATTACCTATAATAAATGGTGTTGTCCTTGAAGAAAAATAATCTAAGCAAAATAAATTTAAGATTTATTAATTGACCGAATTATTAATAATATTATTATTATATATATATATATATATATATATATATATATATATATATATATATATCACCTAGCATCTGTTTATCATTTGATTAATTAATGGGGAAGATCAATAAGGTAACGCTGACATCAATAAAAACCCACTGATCAAAGCAAAGAAAATTACTTCTCAACCAAACTTTGATTTGCTTTGCTTTTTATCTTCTGTAAAATTGCGTTTCTTCTCCTCGCTCTCTCGCTTTGGTAGGCAGGTAAGCAAGTTTCACTCTTCATCTTTTTTTTCTTGCAACAGTTTACTGTTTTATAATGGATTTGCTCTGATTTTTATAGGTTTTTATTGCCAAATTACTAATTTTGATCTTGTAGAGTGATTGTTTTGCCTTGTATCTTGGCGGGTTTTTTTTTAGGGTTTTGGGATTTAAGCCTTTCTAGAAATCGATGTTTGAGTGGGATTATTGGTTATGGGGCGTTATTTTGAGGGATTCCACTATTCTTTTCTATGGCCAATGTTGATTAAATAAATTTGATTTTTGCCAAATTAACTTCCTCTTTCATTTCTTTGTTTTTTTAAAGAGAGTCCAGTTGATTGAATGTTCCATATGGATAATTAAATTAATTATTGATTGGTGCTTCTTTGTGTAGCTACAATTTCTTTCAAGTAAAAGGGTAATGGGTTGGTTGAGTTTTTCTTGAAATTTGGTTCTGTGATATTCTTCTTTTAGTGGATTAGAACCATGTATCAGCAGTTTTATAGTTAACATTCAATAATCAGTACCGGGATGTTAGCATCTTTATGAAATGAATCTTTTCCAATGGCTATTGTAGCTGCTAATATTGTTCAGACTTCTCTTGTTCATGACAGAGCGGGCCCTTCAAAGGCAGAGACAGGAGCTGAAATACATGTATGGGTCAAGATACTAGACGTATTCCTCTTCTCCCCCTTCCCTCTGCATATAACTGTTCAGTGTTTTGCCAAAAGAATTCCTTATTAGCTGCAATATTGTATCATTCACCGAGCTATGCCTTTTCCGTATTTTGTGTTAGGCATGTTCATTTACAAATTAATCAACTAATCGATACGAGTTCAAGTAGGATTCTATGCGTTTAGTTTTGCTTAGGGCTTTTATTATTTAAAGGATTTCGTATTTAGTCAGAGATGTTGTTCGAAATAATACTTTACTTGAGAGTTTCAATTATTCTAGTATACTTCGGATGTAGATATGAGTTTAAATATTTTTGGCCGTGAGTCTTCATTTTACAAGGTTTAGTGATTCCCTGTTACTATCATCCCAATATTTTATGTTACTAGATACAAGTTATATAGGGGTGTGGTAGGGAGCCGTCCAATTATAGCTAATTCTAAATTGATTAGAGGTGACTTAGGTGATTAAATCAAGGAGAGCATAGTTTTATTGAACATTCTTTATACATAATTAAGTTTGTTCTTATTTGGTGCTTTTTATATGTTGCTGCAATTTCTTTCAGGTAAAAGGGTGATGGATTGGTTAAATTTTTCGTGAAATTTGGTTTTATAGCATTCTTCTTTTGGGGAATTAGAACCAGGTATTAGCAGCTTCATAGGTCAAAATCAGTATTCTTCAAAGGCAGAGTTAATGGATGAGGCCACCGACTGTTAGCCTTGGATTTTCTGTATACATGGATCAGAGTACTGATCTTATGCCTTCAACAGCTTTTTTTATCCATATAACAGTTCAGTGCTTTGCCCAAAAATTGCTTATGAGCTGTGAAATTGTACCATTCGACAAGCTTTATGGAATTTTATCTCCTATATCTTCTGTTATGTGTGTATACAAATCAGCTATATAATATTTGCTAAATAGAACCATATCCTTTAAGTACTTTGGCTCTTCTTTAGGTGATTAAATCAGAAGCATATCTAATCTGTTACTAGGGCCCAGGTGTTTTTAAATTTAAAAGTGTTGTCTCATTCGTCTGTTGCCCGCTGGCCGCTGCCGCCGCCCGCCGTCTGCCGCCGCCGTCAGCCGTCCGCCGCCACACTCTGACCACCGTTTGACGCCGCTTTTTCCTAGGATGGTCGTCTGCTCACGGTGAATACAGATCTGGACTTGCATTTGCGAAATACGCTGTCTTTAGTCGCAGATCTACACTCGTCCTCTGCAGATTTTCGAAGCCTCCAGCCGTCCGAGTTCGCCTCCGCCACTCAACCCAGCGCAGTGCCTAAACGTGACCTAATCCCGTCTTCTCTTGTGTCGAGCAGTGGTGTACAGCTGAGTATTCACCATGGAACCCCAACCCACGTCTCAACCCAGCCAACTTCGAGGGTTTGACTCAGCTGGTGCGGTGGCTGCTTCCTCCGTGAGGCCTCCTATTGTTCCTCCTTCATCGACTAGGAGTTCTCATCTCCCGCTTGAACCAGACTGCCGTGTTGCAGCTGGTGATTTCCCCTGGAGTCTGCCAAGGAATTAGAAGCGAAAGTGAAGGCTCTTAAAGCATTAGTGGCAGAGTTGAATAAGCGGGTTATTGATTTAAAAATGAAGGAAAATGCAGTTCCACGAGGCAGTCTTCTCAAGAAATCTGGATCCGCTGGTGCAGCCTCTTCATCTTACTCCGGTAAGGACAATCGTAAAATTGAGAATGAAAAGGAGAGGACAAGGTTACGGAAACCGCAAAGAAGAGTTTTTACCAGACGCTTGTTGGCCGGATTGAGACAGTTTGGTAACTTCTCTATTCCACCGAATGCTGCTAAGAACGATGTTTTGGCAGCCTTGGCACGTGAGGCGGGTTGGATAGTTGAGTCCGACGGCACCACTTACAGACACTCTCCTTCAACCCAAAATCAACAAAATTCGGGATCATTTTCGACGAGGTCGGGTGAAAGTCCACTATCATCCAGTCCTTTGAAGAAATGCTCACAAGAAGCGAAACATAGCAACGGAAAGCTGTCTTTTGTTCACGCAACACCAACGCTTCCAGTCGCTAATGTTGATCATGGTGGTGCCAAGGAGATCTATTCGAAAGGGTATTCCGATGCAAAATTTTCCGAAGTGGTGGGAAGAAGAAGAAATGGGTTTTATAATCGATCGAAAGAAGGCCAACCAGATTTTCGTACTGGGTCCAGAAAGGATTGTTACACGATTTTTATCGAAAACCTTCCAGAGAAGATCCATTGGAAGAAACTTGGATCCATATTTGGCTCACATGGTCAAGTTATTGATGCCTTCATTCCCAAAAAAAGAAACTCGAATGGGGTTCGTTTTGGGTTTATTCGCTTTGCTACAATTGAAGAAGCAAGGACATCGATTTCTAAGATGAATGGTTATCATATTTACGGCAACAAAATTAGAGTCTCTTTGGCTAAACATAAACCCCGACAGTCTTACTGGCGAAAGTCCTCGAAAGTTGTTCATAGTAAGTCGGGGCTGGAAGTTTTTCCGACGATTAAACACTGTGAAGTTGAGGGTGTTGTGGACGCAGATAAACTTCATGTGTTGTCTAACTGTCTTGTGGGGTGGTGCAAGAACTTTATCAAGATTGGTAATCTTGCTAACCAAATACAAGCCAAAGGACTAGCGGGTTTCACGCTTATGAGAGCTGCTGGAAACGTAGTTCTAATGGTTTTTGAAGATTCTAATTCGTTGAGATGCGTGAAGGATGAAAAGTTAGAAACTCTTGCAGAATGGTTTTCCAGAGTGGAAACTTGGTCTGAGAGCCTTGTGGTGGAGAGCCGGCGCGTTTGGCTAGTTTGCGAAGGTATTCCTTTTCACGCTTGGAATTGGGATACTTTCAAAAACATAGCTACTAAGTGGGGCAAGTTAATAGCAATCGATAACAGTTGTGAGTTCCCTTCGTCTTTTGATCGGGCTAAAATCCAAATACTCACAAATGCTCAAGTGAGAATTAATGAGTTGTTGGAGTTGAAGGTCGGGGATCATTTATTCAAAATCTTGGTGCATGAAGTTGATCCTTCCTTCAAACCTAATTCTTGGGTTCCTGAAGATTGCGATATTTCTTTAGAACTTGATCCTCCAATTAGGTTGTGATTGTTCGGCTGCTGTATTCAGAGGCGTTTTTAAGTTTGTGGTTGTAATTGTTGGTTTTTTTGTTATGTTATCTTACATCTTGAGGTGATTTAGGGGCTTTTTGGTTGACGATGTAAGATTTCTAGGTGATATGGGTTGTATTGGTGTTTATTCCCGCATGTGGGTTTGGTGTTACCTCATGTACTTAATATTATATTTAATAAAATATGAGGCACTCTTTTCTCCCTTCCTTGTTCTTCAACATACTTCTAAGTATGTGGAAGAATACGAAGGGAGTTTTTAATGAGACCTCCAACTTCTATCAAAAAAATCTGTTACTAGAAGTTCAAAAATATCAATTGTCTTTTTCTGTTTGTAGTAATAACTGTTATTAGGGCTTGAAATTTTGAATATATTATATATGTTCAGGACCAAATAGTTTCACCTCTGCATTTCACTCTAACTTGAAACTCAAGCCATGATATCTGCTATGTTTCTAATTGACATCTCCGTTAGGCTAATGAGATGTGTTCACTTTAGCCTTTTGAGTATAGTTTGTGTAATATGTCCATTCTGATTGCTTTCATGTGGTGAATTAAGGGCACTCAGCAGAATCAGAACACAAAAACGGTGAATATGAACTTATTAGAGATGACGAAGACCCATGTCTGGGAATGTACGATAAACCTCTTCCTTGCTTTGGCTGTGGAATAGGATGGTTTTCGTGAGTTCTTTCGCCTTCAGTCATCTTCCAGCTTCTCCTATTGGTTTGTGGACTCCTTAACTGACATATCTGCTCTCTTTTTTTTTGGCAGTCTTCTGCTAGGTTTTGTTTTCCCATTAATGTGGTACTATGCTACCATTCTCTACTTCAAAAACTACTATCAAAGAGATCCAAGGGAGAGGGCCGGACTTGCTGCCTCTGCAATAGCTGTAAGTGCTAACTTAGAAATTTGAGTTTTCTTGAATTATTGTCAGGACCCTTATTCGTGTCAATTTCTGAACACTCTGAAATGATAAAATCAAAAAGTAATTCAGGAAATTGCAAAAATCATCTCATTGAACTTGCAGTGTTACAGTAATGAAGGATATGCATCCCCTTCAAATGTCATTTATATTTGATTTCTAATTCCGATCATTACTTTTTGCAGGCACTGATATGTACAATTGCTATAATTATCACAATAGCAGTTCTTATCTTCTAGTTCTCGCGTCTGCAGTCTGTATATTTGCCGCTATTTATGGTGCTTCCTCAAACAAAAGGTGAGACAAGAACATTAAACCTGTAATGGGGACTCAAAAAAAGAGTGGGAGAGAAGCTAGAACATGTTAGGAATCTCAAGAATCTTTGAAAGTTGAGTTGTCAATGATGTAGTCCCCTCTAGGCTTGTACAAAACTGGAAGTCTATATTGCGAGAATGGAACTGTTATAATATCCTTGATAGGGGAGTCTTGTGAACTAGTTACAATAACTATGAAAATATGAAATTACTGATATATGACTTAACATCTTTGAAATGCTTGCGGAATATGAATTACCGTGTCCTGGTTTTTAAAAGAATTGTAGCTGCATTTCTCATTCAAAGTTTCGGGAAAACTGGCTAATGCTAAATTATTGCGTATGTGTGTGGAGGGGGGTCATTGTTATGCTGTGATTATGATACTGGGATAGGGCCATGGTGTTGATGTTATTGAATGTAATGGTGATTTGAGAATCTAGGGTAGCTGGTGGTCTCCACTCACCAGGAACAAAAAAGGGTTGGTCAACAACTTTATTAGGAAGTAATTGCATTTATATATATAGAAGTGTATAGTTTAATGGTAATTACAGATGAAGATATCAGCTTTATTGTTCATTCAGTTATCAGTGGATTAATTAATTTTATATGATGTAGGTTGTCGGATGCTGAATTCAATTTCATTGTCATGAGTTTGACAGCAATTAATATGTCAATTAGCAGAATTTAATTGCTAAATTCTTGTGCTCCTCTAATTTCAGATTTTGGACCTGATGATATAGTAATTTTGAATGAATTGGGACAACAATCCATCGGACCATAATGCCACCATCAATTGAACACCCCCATCTCTTGATTATTACATCTCTTAACTAAACTACAACCTCTAAAATTTTATATCAACCAACATTTTTCATTTAATTTCTCGAAAGGACCCTAACAAAATGGGTTTTCTCGCCCATATAAGGTTGTGGGAAAAATAATTTTCTCATATAAGATATTTATCATATTATTTCCCGAACTAGGTCTTTTTATTGGTCTAAAGGCGTATATTCTTGGAGTCTTCTCAATTTACCTGAGGACGTCATGCAGTTATGAAGTATTCTTCATTTACCTGAAAACGTCATATAGTAGTGGAGTTTTTATATTTAACTTGAAGACGTGTGGAACACCTATTGTCTTTAGTTTGATACTGTTTAATTCACCGTATTGTTCAATTCACCACAGATAGAAAATAATTTCTAAAATAGACTATATTAAAAAAATTAAAAAATCTTACGCCATTTCTCCAACAAAATGGATAACGCGTTTTTGCTACAAATTGTGTAAGGTTTCTTGATTTCATTGCTGTTTGTCGTTTTCCTTAATTAAAACCTATGCAAACACGTCACTCCAAAATTCTAATCTTTAATTCATTTAGTTTTGGTAACATTAGACACCCCCACTTTGCAATTTTATCTTTTTAAACTGAATTAAAACGTGACCAATTTTACAATGCCCCCTTGATTATTTAAAATTTATGATAAACTTTATTTTATAATTGTAAATTATATTGTTTTGTTGGAGTAGTGAACTTGAACCGTGTTATTTAATTTTATGAAATTTAATTACTTTAATTAACGTGTTTAGACTTTAGATTTAACACGGTGGGTTGCTTTGCATGTATCCACTATAAAATATAAATACAAGTGCTATACTAAAAATTATTACAACCTTGAAAAAATTTGCAAAGTCCAACCTCGAAAAGCTATACTAAAAAACTAGTAATAAAAAATGGAGTAAAGAAAGATGAAAAAGCAATTAGTGTGGCGAATTAAGGCTAAACTTTTCTGGTTAATTGCAAGTGAGGAACGCACTTTATTCTTTGCTTTAGGCTGTCATTCTTACAAAGACGGGACAAGTTACATGTGAACGCATCCTCTATCTATCCACATTGAAAATATATATTATAAGACATTTTTTAAAAGTTAAAGTTGAATTTTATAGGTCATAGTTTTGGTATAATATTTGTTGTATTTATTGATTAAAAATACCAACATTATTAACAAGACTTGCAAATTTTCAATTCAAAATTAAATAGTAACAATAATCTATTCAAAATAATAAAATGATTGCATGTCTTGTCAACTACTGCATCCATTAATTTTATAAGCAAAAGGCATTACCCAAAACCAAAAGGCAAGAATCACTCAAGCAAGCGAGAAAACAAAAAACTTTCCTTAAATCTCTCAAAACATGGAGGATTTCGATGAAGACGTAACCCCATTTTGGCTTCAAACCACCAACAACGGCCGCCGTCGCCAATACCTCTTCTTCAACATCGGTATCCTCGTCATCTTGTTGTTAGCCGTTGCTTTTGTCTTCATCATCATCCCTTCGTTTCTGTCCTTCACTTCCAACATATTCAAGCCCCAAGTCGTTAAAAAATCGTGGGCTTCCCTCAACTTAGTCCTCGTGCTCTTCGCCGTAATCTGTGCTTTCCTGAGCAAAAACAACGGCGGCAGTGATACCAATGAGACGCCGAGGTCTTACAGAGATTACAAATTCTCTTCGACGCCGAAACATGTTGTCGATGACGATGATCGTGGCCGAAGATCGAATCCGGCGACTTCGGGTCAATGGTACTATGATCCATCGCCGTCATCAGATCGGACGGCGTATAATTCTTTGCCGAGGATGAGGAGCAGCAGTTCGTATCCGGATCTGCGTCAGGAATCCATTTGGGTGATGAACGGTGATGATCGGTGGAGATTTCATGATGATACCGGGTTGTATAATTACCGGAGTAAGTCGAGGCGAGAGCGTGATGAAGAACAAGTTTACTTTAGTAATTCAAAGGATATAGCTGTTGATACTGTTCGTACTACACCGCCGCCGCATCCAGCAACAGTTCCGCCACCTTTAGTAGCAGAAACAGAAGACTCGGCTCCGCCAGCACCTGAGTCGCCTCCGTCGCAGCCTACTAAGGTTGTTAGAAGGAAACCTAAGAGGACTTATGAAGATGTTCCACCTAGGGAGAGAAGTGAACGTAAGGAAATCGTGTACAATGAGATGAAAACCAAGCATTCTCTTCCATCACCTCCATTGCCACCGCCGCCAATAGCTGAGCCGGAGAAGAGAAGTAAGAAGAGTGAGAAAAAGAGAGGCAGAGTAACTAAAGAATTATTAACTTCGTTAAGAAGAAAAAAGAAGCACCAAAGGCAAAGAAGCGTGGAAAACCTTGATGAATTCTTTAACCTCGAAACGCTTCCTTTATACCCACCGCTGTCACCTCCTCCTCCGCCGCCCCCACCACCACTACCGTCATTTTACAACATCTTTTCTTCCAAGAAAAACAAATCCAGAAGGCATCATCACATAATCCCTCCACCTCCACCGCCACCACCATCATTGGAGGCGCGTGCATCGAAAAGAGAACACAATAAACCACCCGTAAGGATCAAGAAACCTCCATTACCAGTCAAGATAAGAAACGTCAACAATGTGGAGGAAAGCATCGAAAGTGGCAATGATTCGCCGTTCAATTCAGTCCCTCCGCCGCCTCCGCCTCCACCATTTAACATGCCGGCGTGGAAGTTCGAAGTGCACGGTGATTTCGTTAGATTGAAAAGCATCAACAGCTCTCGAAGCGGATCACCTGATTTGGATGACCCATTGAGCCGTGAAGCGAGTCCATCGGATGGAAATAAAAGCGGCGGCATCGACGGCGGAGAATCGACGGCAGCAGGGCCATTGTTTTGTCCAAGCCCAGATGTTAATACCAAAGCTGATAATTTCATTGCAAGGTTCAGGGCTGGCTTGAAGCTGGAGAAGATAAACTCCGTCAAAGGAAGGTCTAATCTCGGCCTTGATCCAGGCCCAAGCACTGTGTAAGAAGCAAAACTATGAAGGCTGCTATTTTCCCTCCCTCGAAATTTGATTTTTTTCTATAAGCTTCAATCATTACTTGATTCATTTGAATTGTTGTTTCATTTTCAAAGTCAGAGACCTAACAGTTGGATTACAAGATAGCATTTTTCCCTTTATTTTCAGAAGCTGGATTACAATGTAGGTATTTCTTCAATTTTTTATAGCTGAATTCTGATATCGGTCAAGACCTGTTGAAAATCTATTTAATGAAATCATTGATGTTGTTCGATGTAGTTTTAGGAGGGAAAACTTCAATAGACTTGATAGTACTAATCTTAACCTATGTAATGCTTGGGGCTTATAGTTCTACCAATCATTGATTTGTTTAGTTGTACATAGTTTCTTTTTTGTTTTGATTGGTTGATTGATTCTAACAAAACTTTGCTATTTTGGATAATAAAATTCTTACTTATCCAAAAAAAAAAATTGGTGTTTTATGATTGTTAGATATTATTAAAAAATTGGGATTTTCTTCTTTTTGTGAAATATAAAGCAATCATATAACGTGTTTTTTTTTCCAACTATTTTTTTACCAATATTAGATTTTATTATTATAATATCGAATCAATTTCGAATCAACCAGAAACAAACTCCATCTAGTTGTCTATCAATGTCGGGCAGGGACGGATGTATGTTAGACATTCATGAGGTTCAATTGCATATCTATTATTTTAGAAAACTATTAAACCTAATTTAATATATTAAGTGTGTTGAAACATTTTGATATTTCGATATAACAAATTAAGTTAAATGAATTTTAAGATTTTCCAAATGATTTTCTAAGTATATTCGATATAACTATTCGAATATCAAAACATTACTCCAAATATTTCAAAAATCATTTTTAATCCTTACTTAAGTGTAAAATTAAGTTTTAATCATAAAACAATTTCAAAATAATCTTACAAAGTATTTCGAACCAATTCAAAGCAAAAAATTACAGATTGCTCAGAGGGAACCGATTCCCCCCCATAGGAGGAACCGATTCCCCCCTAAATGGTTTTGGCCCCGAGATTTCCAGAATGCTCGGAGGGAACCGATTCCCCCCATAGGAGGAACCGATTCCCCCTAAACAGTTTTGCTCCGAGAATTCCAGTATGCTCGGAGGGAACCGATCCCCCCCAAGGGGGTACCGATTCCCCCCTTATACAACGGTCGAAATATTTGAATTTTACACTTAGGAACCGATTCCCTTCAAGGGGGAACCGATTCCCCCCACGCTCCAAGCTGTTTTATTAAATGTTTTCACACTAAAACGGCTATAATATATTCTCTAATCATCCCCAACATTCAGAAGTGATCCAAGGTGTATTTAAGCAAGCTTAGAAGCCATTGATCAAATATAAGAAACATCAAGCAACTATAATCAAGAGAGAATCAAAGAGAAAGCATCAAACCTCAAGTTTGAGCATTTCAAGCCTATTTTCATTCAATATTCATTTTGCTTTCAAGAACACTTTTTGTGCTCAATTGTATTCATCTTTGAGTGTTCTTTTCTTTGTTGTAGAATTGTGCAAACATCTTACCTTGTAAGGTTTTCTTGTAAGTTTGCAAATTTGTAATCTTCTCTTTGAGAAAAGAGTGTTCTCAAGAGTTGGGGTATACTCTTGAGGGAATTGTAAGGTTATCTCTTTGGCCTCAAAAGAAAGAACAAATTAGTGAATTTGTTGGAAAATCCTTAGTGTGGATAGCTAAGGTAGTGGACGTAGACTTTGTTTGAGAAAGTCGAACCACTGTAAATCGCTGTGCAATTACTTTCAATTTTCTGCAAAAGCTTCCACAAAATTTTTATTGCCAATTCACCCCCCTCTTGGCCAATTTCGTCATTCGATTAACTAAACAATTGGCATCAGAGCCTAGCTCATTTGAAGGTTTAATCGCCTCTTGAGTCGATCCGGGAAGAGTTACATCGATTACCAAGTCATCAATGGCCTCCACTTCAAATTACGACTCCAGTCTCGATTCGATGCCCGTCAACAAGCCTCCTTTCTTCAATGGAGCTAACTACGCCTATTGGAAGAATAGAATGATGTACTTCATTCAAGCAAGTGACATGGGAGCATGGAATGTCGTAGAAGAAGGATACATTAAGCCTATCACTCATCCAAGGTTGTGGAGTGAAGGAGATACAAAAATGTTCCAGCTCAACTCCAAAGCCATCCATATTATCTTTTGTGCTCTTGGACCAGATGAATACGGAAGAGTTTCATCGTGTACAACCGCCAAAGAAATATGGGACAAGCTTCAAGTCACACATGAAGGTACCGATGAGGTAAAGAAATCAAAAATTAGTATTCTAACGCATAGCTATGAAAATTTCAGGATGAAACCAAATGAAGACATCAAAGCTATGACGGATAGATTTTCAACGATTGTCAATGGTCTCAAATCATATGGAGAGATCATCTCAAATGAAAAGCTTGTGAGGAAGTTAGTCTACTCCCTCCCAAAATCATGGCAATCAAAGAAGACGGCAATCATCGAGTCTAAGGACCTATCGTCCTTAACTCTTGAAGAACTTATCGGTTCACTCCTCACTCATGAGATGATGCTTAAAGATGAGGTGGACCTTGATAAAGTTGAAGAGACACCAAAGGAGAATGAGAAGAAGAAAAACATTGGAGTTGCTCTCAAATCCACAAAAGATGAGAGTGATTCTAATGATGATGATGATGACGAGGAAATGGCATTGTTTGCCAAACGGTTCAGAAAAATGATGAGACCTTACCGAGGAAGAAAATTCAAACGAAATGAAGGCCTCAAAGATGAACCAAAAGAGAAGGACCCGATCATTTGCTATGAATGCAAAAAGCCAGGGCATGTCAAATATGATTGCCCACAATTGAAGAAGAAGGGTCAATCAAAGAATAAGCACAAGGCTCATGTGGCTACATGGAGCGATGAAGAAGGTTCCGATGAAGAAGAACAAGAAGTAGCAAACTTGTGCTTAATGGCATTTGGGGAAGATTCTAAGGTAACCTCTAACTCATCTGATTTTGATGATTTATCTTATGATGAGCTATTAGAGGAATATAATGGGTTGGCTTCGGATTATGAGAAATTATTTTTTAAAATATAAAAATGATGCTTCAAAGTTGAAAAATGAAAATAAACTCATATCCAAAACCAACAATGATCTTGAAAGTAAAATCAAAGATTTGCAAATCAAACTAGAAGAGTTTGAAAAGAAAAATTTAGATTTGCAAAATTTACTTTCAAAGGTCAATAATGATCATCAAAGAAAATTGATGATCTTAAAACTTCTTTGATAAAGTTGGAACAAAACGTTTTGAAAAAGGAGAAAATTCAAAATCCAACTTTGTTAGAAAGATTTTAGAAACTACAATCATAGAAATCCTCAACGAACCTTAAATGGTAAAATCTTTAAAAGTATATGGGTTCCTAAAGGACTCATTACTACTAAAGATAAAGATATCCTACACAAATTGATACCTAAGGGGACTAGGATTTTGGAAACTAATGAATATGGACCCAAAAGAATTTGGGTACCAAAAATCAAAAATTAATCTATGTTTGTAGGGAAAGGAGCATTGCTACAAGGCACGAGAAACAAATTCAAATTCATGGTACCTTGATAGTGGATGCTCAAGACACATGACCGGAGACAAAAGCCGGTTCATAGAGCTTAACGTCAAAAATGGAGGAGAAGTAACTTTTGGTGATAATTCAAAAGGTCACATTGAATGTATTGGTACAATAGGTAATACCTCTTCCATACAAATTAAAAATGTTTTATATGTGAATGGATTAAAGCATAATCTATTGAGTATTAGTCAATTATGCGATAAGGGATTCAATGTCTTGTTTGAAATTAATGGTTGTAAAGTTATTGACATTGCATCTAATCGGATTATGCTTGTTGGTCATAGAATAGGAAACATTTACATGGTGTATTTAGATTCTATTGATATGACTAAATTGTGCCTAGTTGCTAAGGATGAACATGATAGTTGGTTATGGCATAGGAGACTAGGACATGCTAGTATGAGTGTTTTGCAACGGCTAATTCAAGGTGATTTAGTTCGAGGGTTGCCTAAGCTTAAATTTGATAATGATAAAATCTGTGATGCTTGTGCTAAAGGAAAACAAAAGCGCGTTTCTTTTAAATCCATTAATGACGTATCAACTAGTAGAGTATTACAATTGATCCATGTAGATCTTTTTGGGCCAACTAGGACTACTAGCTTGGGTGGAAAACAATATGCATTTGTCTTGGTAGATGATTATTCTAGATATACTTGGGTTCTATTTTTAAGTACTAAAAATGAAGCATTAGAACAGTTCATCACATTTTCAAAAATAATCCAAAATGAAAAAGGTTACTCTATAACTAGTGTTAGGAGTGATCATGGCACTGAATTTGAAAATCTTGGATTTATTGATTTTTGTAATTCTAATGGTATTAGCCACAATTTTTCAGCACCTAGAACCCTCAACAAAATGGAGTTGTTGAGAGGAAAATCGAACTTTAGAAGAAATGGCTAGAACCATGCTTTGTGAAAATAATTTGCCAAATATTTTTGGGCGGAAGCCACAAATACTGCTTGTTATGTTGTAAATCGAGTAATGATTAGGCCAATTTTAAAGAAAACTCCATATGAAATTCTCAAAAATAAAAAGCCTAACATTAGCTATTTTCATCCTTTTGGATGTAAATGTTTTGTTTTAAACAACGGTAAAGAAAACCTTGGCAAATTTGATGCTAAAAGTGATGAAGGAATTTTTCTGGGTTATTCCTTAAATTCTAAAGCTTATCGATTATTTAATAAAAGAACTTTAGTTGTAGAAGAGTCTATACATGTTGTTTTCGATGATAATCCCCTTCCGAGGAAGGATTCTTGTGTGAATGATGATGTAGGTGTTATAAATTCAAATGACGCTAGACATAAAGTTGGAGAACCATCATCAAAGGAAGAAACGAAAAATGAGGAAACTCATGATCCTCT